TACAGTGCCGGGCACCCGCAGCGCGCTCCCTCCCGGTCCGGCGCCCCGGCCCGCGGGCCCCCGGCCTGCGGGTCCCCGGCCCCCAGCAATTGCCCGGCCCGGTAGCACTCACCCTCCTTGGCTTTCTTCCTCCGGGCCAGGGTCCCGCCGAGTTTCCCCAGGAAGGAGTCATCTTTCTTGCGGGAAGGGGGCGACTTGGGAGTGGGGGACTTGGGGACCGAGGGCGACTTCTGCGGGGAGGTGGCCATGGCGGCGGAGCAGGCAGCCCGCGGGCGGGGGGCGGCTTGCGACGCGGAGCTGGCGCTGGGCGGACGCGGCGGGACTGAGGCTGCGGCTTTCCAAACGGAAGCGGAATTATTCCAAGCATTCGAGGCAGCTCACGCTCGCCTTTCCCTTCCCTCGCTCCCTCCCTCGCGCCGCCCTCCGCCCTGGTAGGAGCTGCGCGCTCTAGGCCCGAGCCCCGGGCCGGACTGAGCCCTTGGGCTGCCCAAAGCAGGGAGGACACCCCAAATCTGCTCCTTGCGGCTGTGTGTGTGTGTTCCACCTTCCAGGCTGGGACGATGGAGCCTGGAAGCCTTATTTCCCTGCACTACACCCGGGCGCACATTCCAGCATAAATCAGGATCTGAACCGATCTGAACTGAACCACTCCTGCTACTCTGTCTCCTCCTGCCCTGGCTGGGGCTGCTCCGTAAGGCGCTCTGTCCTTCGCCTGTATTGCAGCCATGTACGTCCATGTCCACGAAAGAGAGTGAACTAGCTCCTGGAGAAGTAATCAGTGTGAACGAAATGTGTTCAGGCTCCCCAGACTGGACGAGACCAGACACTCCGCAGGGGTTCACAGCTGTCAACCTCGTCTTGTCCACCCGCATCCAAAGCTGAGAAGTCTGCAGTTCATGCAGGCACGTGGGAGCTTCTTGCTGGTTCTTGCAAGACATCTGGGTTTGTAGCAACTCAATGGTTTGTAAAGAGGAGGATCCTACCTGTTGGTAGGAACCTGAGCGGATATGTGTGTGTGCAAAAGTGGGCTCCCCCACCCCCAAATTTATCCTGCCCGAATATAAGCAACCAGACTTATGTGGAGTAACAAAAGAATCACACTAAACAGTGTTCAAAGACTCATACTGGGAATTACCAAAAGCACTTATGGTGCTGGCCCATCTTAAGTGTTCACTAATTCTGGTGTCTGTCTCTCTCTCACACATACACACAGACACACACACACACACACCCTTTGACAACTTTTCTCTATGTGGCCCCTGCCCTCTAGCTACAGCTGGGTAAACACCTGACCCAAAGAGCCTTCATGCTTGTCTGGAGAACAGCCAATCAGATGCCTCTATCAAGAATCCCTGCTAAGCTGGAGAGATTTAGAAGGGGAGGTCAGAGCTGATGCTCACACAGTCAAGGTTGTTCGTCCCTGTTCTAGCCCACTGCATGCTGATGGGTAGAGAGATGAGAGAGCAAAGAAATTGTGTGCAAGAAACCGTGTGGTCCAAGTAGTGGAGAATCATGCGGACTAGCTGCCTGCACCTTGAATCTTCCCAGCCCCCACTTGCAGCTCTCTCAGGGCCAGCTTCCTTCAAGAAGTTACTAAAGCCTTTTATACCCATCTGTCTTGGCTTGAACTTAGCCAACACACAAGCCACAATTCCTAAGAAGCAATAAAAACAAGATGATCGATAGACTCTTAGCAGAGTATATACTCATTTTATCTTTGCTTTAGAGTCCACATTTCCCAATTTTGAACATTAGACTTTAGTTGGTACCTCTTACCTAACAGAAAATAGAGAAGTCCTGTTGACTGCTAGCCTGGGAAGATAACCACCCTAGTCCACCCACCATGAATCTTGAAAAGATGGTGAGGAGACAAAATAAAATTATGTTTCAGGGCGATCATTACTCATTTTTGTTTAGGATATCAAATGCATAAGGACAGCTCCAAAATCTGATCTGCAGTCTTGGGAGGTTGTCAGAGAATGAGGAGACATGCAGCCCGATGGCTGTGGGACTTTGGGAACGTGTGTACTCCCTTTTTCTGGGTCTTTATTTCTTCATCTACAAAATGAAGTGGTTCAAACAGAAAGTGGTTCTCAAACCTGCTGTGCATAACAACCCCTAGGAATTTGTACAGACACATGTTTCTACACAAACTGTGCTAGAAGGGAATAAACCCCAGTTCCAGTCCCGGCTTAGGAGCTAGGTGATCTTAAGCCAATGTCTTTACTTCCTGTACGTTCGTTTCCATCATCTACGTAATGAACGCAAGGCAATACCTGCTAGAGCAGACGTTATACATACTTTACGACCAGTGATTTCAGTTCTACGTATACCCAGCAAAAAGGAGTACATTTGTGCACCCAGATACACATTCTAGAACGCTTATAAGAGCACCTTTCAAATGCCTATAAACAGTTGAGCCAATAAAGTATGATAGTCACAATAATGCGAATGAACAACTCACCACTACAAGCAGTGATAAAAATACATCTCACAGTATAATGTAGTGTGAACAGAAGCAGACACAAACAGCACATACTGTGTTATTATATTTATATCAAGTTCAAAAATAGATGAAACAAATCTAAGATGTTAGACGTCAGAATAGTGATCAGCCTTGGAAAGTCAGTGGCCAGAGTGGAGGCTGGGAGAAGGGGGACATCAGGGAAGTTACTGGAGCTGGCAATGTTCTGTTTCTTCTACTAGTTACACGGATGTATTCACTTTAACAATTAATGGAAGAGGGGACTAGCATTTAGCACAGTGGTTATGTTGCTGGACTCCCACATGACTGACCATGGTTCGAGTCCTGGACCTAGCAGCTTGAAACCGTGTGTGCCTAAAATCCTGAGAGGAGAACGGAGGAGAAGGGATTGTGGTATGGCCATCCCCTCTGGGGGGTGATTTCTCGCTTTCTTTCTCTCTCTATCTCTCTGGTGACTGCACGTGCCCTGTAGCAAAAATCTCTAAAAAAAAAAAAAATGATAATAATAATAATGGAGGAACCCAAATGGGGTGGTGGTTGGGGCTCTGGACTCCCACATGGCCAACTATGATTCAAATCTCAGACCTCGTGCATTCTTTCTCTCTTTCACTGGTCAAATTGAAGAAGAAGAAGAAATAAAATTAAATGACTAATTCTTACCAAAAAATTAATTGCTCCATTTATTAGGAGTGCACACTTGGGACCAGCAGTTGGCATAATGGCTATATCGCTGGACTCCCATGTATTTGACCGCAGTTTGAGTCCTGGACCCAGTGGCTTAAAACTCACGCCGGGCGCATATGCATGCGTGCCCAAGATCCCGAGAGGAGAATGGAGGAGAAGGGATTGCAGCATGGCCATCCTCCCTGGGGGGTGATTTCTTGCTTTTTGTCTCTCTGTCTCTCTCTGTCTGTCTGGCGAGCACACGTGCCCTATAGCAAAAATCTCTCCAAAAAAAGAAAAAAAAGAGTGCACACTTAATTGGAGCAATTTTCTGTATGCATATTGTACTTTAAAGATTTACAAATATGTCACAGAAATGATTAACTCTTAACAATAAAGTCATGGGACTACATACTCTGCAGGGTCTCTTTTAATTCTATAGCCTCTTTCCCCAACTTCCTGTGTAGCCCCTGTCACTCAAAACTCCATAGGCCCTAAACTAGGCCAGTTCTGTCCCCAGCTATTCCCTTAGGAGATCCTACTTCTAGCTAAACATGTGCTTCCCCCAGCCCCCAGCCACCCAGGTTTGTTCCTATCCTAGTACTGTCGTTTTCTCTTAATAATTCCAATAGTCAGGGCTTTGTGATTTATGACGTAGAATCGTGCAGTGGTAAAGGATGTGAGCTCATCTCTCCATTCTGCCATCAAATATCTGTATAATTGTGTGCAAATTATTTAACCTTTCTGTGCCTCAGTATTCTTACCATAAAATGAATACTTACCTCATAAGTTGTTGAGAGGACCAAGAGAGTCCGTATAAATAAACTACTCAGCTCAGAGTTTGAATTTCCATTTAACGTGCAAAAACCAACTAAGATGCTACAGCAAGCACATGACTAAATTCTGATCAATGAGATGTAAGCAAAAGTTCTGTGGCAGCTTCCAGAAACCATGCCGGAAAGATCGACGGCAGATGGGTTTTCAGCTTCTTGGATGATCAAACTGTAATACGGGCCAATCCTGCCCCCAAGGACTCTTAGAGAAGCTGGACAAAATGTAAAAGCAATGTGTATGAGAGTACTAGAAAACAAACAGAATGTACAGGGCCTTGGAGAAGGAGAAGCCCCAGAGAAGTCAGCTTGTCACTTGGGACCTCTTTTCCCTTAGGGCATCTGCCAATCTCAGAAGAGGCAGCTGAGAAGCTGAGTGGTTGAGCTGGGTTGTTGCCAACTTCAGGATTAGTAGACAAAAGTTCAGGTGCCATCAATCCAGGAGACTTCGGTAAGCCTTGCTTTAACTGAGACCCTGCAAGAGTCCACTCTAGTATACAAAGAGAAAATAATGACATTTTCAGTTCACACACACATACACACACGTACACACACAACTAGAAAAAAATATTAATATTTGACCCAAACCAAAGGAACTACTAAAGCATGTGGCAGAAGGAAAATCAACCCAGATGGAAGCTCAGAGGCATGCGGAAGAACTAAGAAGCAATAGATGGGTAAATCTAAAAGCATGTTAACAATACAAAAATGACAAAAGGAGTTGTGTATGAGGTTTTAACAATATAAATCAAATAGAAATACACGAAAGCAGAAGCATTTAAGCTAGAAAATGAGCAACCAGAGTTAAGTGTTTTAAGATCCAAGCACAGTCTGGGAAGAAGTACAAGTAACAATTTTTACTGGACTTTGATAAATCAAGGATCACAGTGTCATCTCTAGGATAATCATTAAAAGATAGTGAAAGAAACAGCAAGAAACAAGACAAGGGAGAAAGGATTGGAATCTAGGCGCTCTATTCAAACAGACTTCATAAATTATGTGTGTAATCTGTATCTGTCTAATCTAAGGTAACTTTGCTTTTGCGTTGTTTTCTTTTTATTTAACCATGCTAATTTTTATTGTAGAGCTTAAAAATTCAGGATATTGGGGAGCCACCATGTGGTGTGGAGGTTAAGGCACTGGATTTTCACATGACCGACTATGGCTCAAGTCCTGGACCCAGCAGCTTGAAAATCGTGCCAGGCACATGTGCGTTCATACCCAGGGTACATACCCAAAATCTCGAGAAGAGCATGGAGGAGAAGGGATTGCAGCATGGCCAGCTTCCCAGAGGGTGATTTCTCACTTTCCTTTTCTCTGTCTCTCCAACAGGTGCACACACCCTATGACAAATACCTATTAAAACACACACACACACACACACAGATACTAGAAAAACAATCATTCCAAAACAAATTAAAGTCAAAATGGAAGAGGATTTCACCAGAGACATGTGTCTTTACTAAATGTGAATGGCATTAATTATGGATTGAGTTGTGAACTCTAAGAAAGTAAAGTTGAAGTTCTAATCCCTGGTACCTCAGTAGGAGACCTTATTTGGAAATACAGTTATTGCAGTTGTAATTAGTATGGAGGAGGTGGGTACATAGTCCCATAAGACCAGTGCCTTCTGAGAAGAAGAAAATCTGGACACAGACACACACGGAGGAAAGCCGACATGAAGAGACACAGGAAGATGATGGTCATTGAAGTTATGCCGCCACTAGTCAGAGAATGCCTGCAACTGACTACCAGACTGGAAGAAGCAGGGAAGAATCTTCCCCTAGAGTCCCAGAGGAAACATGGCTCCAAACACACCTTGATTTGGGGCTTCTGACCTCTAGAACTGTGAGAGAACAAAGCTCCGTTGTTCAAAGCCACCCTGTTTGTGGTGCTTCATTCTGGTAGCCCTGGGAGACGAATATGCTACCTAAGGGAGAAAACGGGAGCCCCTGCAGATCATGAAAGTTTTATAGAGTCTAGATTCAAATCAATAACTAGAGGTTGACCACATTGAAGCAGGAGGGGGAGCAGAGGAATGGTCAGAGCCTCTTCAGACCTCTTTGATCACTGGGAACAAGGTGTGTTCTCAGGACGAAAGGAATGGGAGAGGAGATGCCTCTGGAGTGGGGGTCTTAATGAGAAGCCTTATTGCACACACCCCCCTTGGGAGCTCTGGGGTGTTAGCAGTGGCCTGGGAAGGCCAGGCTGCCAGTGAGCACATCCCCTAGCAGTCCTTCTTGTCTAGGGGAAGGCAGTCCAGGTGGCAGGGGTGGGAGCAAGAGCTTCTGTGGTGGGTAGGAAAGGCACAGGGCAGGAGGGAGCTGTAGTGTTCCAGCCTTATTTGGAAGCATGTTGGGTTGAGGGTGGACATGTTTTTGAGGCTCACACAGGATGATGCCACTCAGCGTTGGATCCAGCCAGAGGGAATGGGTCTCAAGTTCTTTGAGACAGGTACTCTGCTTACCTTCCCTTCGAAAGCCTGATAAGGGACCATCGATGTTGGCAGAGTGATTTTCTCACCTGGGCATGAGCGTTGAGTGCCAGCCATAGAGCTGAAGGCTTAGGATCAGCATCTCCTACTTGCGTCCCCTAGCAGAGGAATGGTGAACATGCCAGGGGACCAGAGCTGAGACAAAACTTCGAAGGACATCAAGAAGCAGGGGTGAGCACTTTAGAGTCAGCCTGGCAGAACACCTGGGCCCAGCAATTCCACTGGTGTGCAGTCCATGCCACCGGCCACTGAGATTACACGTGAGGTCCTGAGTGTCCTCCACCCCTTCCTAGATTGGTGTGATCTGAGGAGGAAGGCCTTCCTCCCACTTCCCATCTCTAGGGTGTGTGGCCTGGAGGAGCAAGAGTGCCCAGTGCCACCTTGGTTGGGGACAATGCAAAGCTGCCCATGCCTCAGACGCTTTGTTTCAGGGAGGAAGGTCAGAAGTATCGTGTCTGACAATGAGCTGGGACCCATCGCCAAAGCCAGACGGCATCTTCAGAAGACACTCGAGGGTGTACTTGAAGAGTTGTTAGCCAAAGGGCTGTGTAAAAGCTGGCCATCAGGTCAGGAGAAGCTGGTTCAGAGGGATGGTCTCCGGACCAGCAGCTAGCGTAATGGCTATGTCGCTGGACTCCCATGCAGCTGACCACACTTCGAGTCCTGGACCTGGCGGCTTAAAACTCACACCTGGCATGTGTGTGTGCGTGTGTGCTCAAGATCCCAAGAGGAGAATGGAGGAGAAGGGATTGCAACATGGCCATTCCTTCTAAGGGGTGATTTCTTGCTTTCTCTCTGTCTCGCTCTGTCTTTCTGGTGAGCATACGTGCTCTATAGCAAACAACCTCTCTCCCTGCAAAAAAGAAAAAAAAGAGGAATGGTCTCCAAAGAGAGTCCACATGCAGATGGCAAGTCGGACAAGTCAGAGAGGGGTCAGCTCCGAGGAGTGTGTTTCCTGACCGAGCTTCCTGCTTGTATCTCCTCTGGTGGAGACTGCCCGTTGTTAGCCACTTGGCTGCGACTGGTAGCATTGACTTCTGCTGCTGTGATTAGAATGGCTCAAGATTCATCACGGCCATTTATGAAATTAATTACGACGTTATATCTCATTTTCAAAGTGGAACCTCCATACAGCAGACTAACTCTTGCAAGATACCTATGAGGGAGGGAAGGAGTGAGGAGGGAGGCTCAGTCCCATTGCACGGATGTAGACAGTGAGTCACAACTGAGTTGTTCCATGTCATCCAACGAGCGGTGGCAAAACCGGAAGTAAAGCCCTGAATTACTTATGCTCAACATGGGCTATTGTGTTTGGAATGTCACTGCAGTACTGAGGAGACACAAGTGCCAGTTGTTCAAGTGGCAGCTTTGGCTTCTCTTCCCAGGCGTCCCCTGAGCAGGGCTGGGCACTCGTGTCTTAGGGAGATGGCAGTGGGAACCCATCTGAGGACGGGTGAGCATGAGGCACATGTCTGGGTTGGGACACAAAGCAAGGCCACCTGCCGAGGGCCAGCTCTCGATGCAGACACCGGGGTATAGTCACTCCTTCCAAGGCAAGTGCTCGAGCCTCTTTGTGTCTCAGTCTTACCATCTCAAAATGGTGCCAACATTTGTCTTAGATTTTGCCGTCAGGATTACATGGGATGATGCTCTCACAGAGCTTAGTACAGACCCCAGCAGAAGAGAATTCACAGCAACTATTACCATTATCAGGCCCAGAGGGCTCCCACAGGTGCTCTGGTGCCATCAGTTTTGCCTTTTTATTATTATTTTATGAAATGGTCTTGGAGAAGGGATGAGCATGACATTTCCAAGCATGCCTTGAAGGCTCAGAGACGTGAACTGCAGTCAGCAGGTGCAGAAGGGCTGAATCTCTGGCCCTGTGAGCAGGAAGAGGGCAGCTGAGCCCCAGAGGGTGCCCATGGAAAACTTGCAAAGCACCAGCAAAGGAGGTCAGCTCTTGCTAGGAGCTCCATGCCCAGCACATTAGTGCTTACAAAACAAGAGTCTCGCCTGCCGTCACGCATATTTTTCATTGAAATTCAATGGAAAAATAAAATCATTTCACATCTTTGAAAAGGCCCAAGTTTACAAACAATGGGATATGTTAGTGTGGAATGATGGGAGCTCCTGAAACTGGCTAGGTTGATTAACCTGATACGGCAACTGTGGTAGATTATGCTCTCAGAGTCTCAGATCTGCATGCACGAGGGGGTTAAGAACAGAAGAAAAACAAACTCCGTTCTGAAGGCGTGTGAGTTACAGAGGCCAGCTCTGTGCAGAAGGGAGCCTTCCCGGTAAGTTAATAGAATACAAAGCCAGGCTTCATCAGGTAAGAGGCGAGATACACAGGAGGATGTGGCTAGGACAAGTCTCATTCCTCCCCTTCCCCAGCCTTGAAAAGAGCCTTCTTTGCTGACAGACTCTACCTGAGTTGGGCCTTCTTCACCCCTCCCCACTTCAAATCCCATTTGTGAAACAGGTGAGTCCTTCCAGGAGTCCCCACGGTACGAAAACACCCAGCGTTAATTCAGACTCCCACACGAAATCAAAGCCTCACCTAGGGCTTCCCTAAGAAGAAAGAAATGAAATGGATGCTGCCCCGGAGGTGCCAGACCCAGCCCACGTGAAAATGATTTGATTCCTGGGACACAAAACCATTTATTTTTGGTTCATTTCAGTATTTATAACAGTGCACATATAATACATTTCCATCCACTTGAACAGTTCCCAATTGTTGGAGCAAATTAATCTTTTACAAGCTACTCAGCAGTGAGGTTAGATGATAACCAGTAGGTGAAATAGTACACTTTCCCCTGCACATGAACCTTCTGATGACAATAAACTCCTCCATTTGAGCTTACCACATCCAATGAAGGCCACGTTCTCCATTCATGTGGTGCCCCAGCTGCCCCTGCCACCTCTGCCCTGCTGAGGTAGTTCTCTGATCAGCCACCTGGGTGGGGCATGCTGCCATTTTCAGTTTGGAAGGAAAAGCCTGTAAATCTGCTTCCCGGGAAGAGAAACATTGCTGAATTGTCATTTGCCTCCAGAATGCAGAAAACATCAATTTCACCGCAGCTCATCAGAGTTGGAAACACCTGCCACTTCCTTTCTCAGTTGCAATTAACATGCTGCATCTTGGCATTGATTGATCCCAAGCAGCCTAACACTGCCAAAGTCAAGGTTTAAATGAAACAGTACAACCTGATATCATTTTTCACAGTTATGGAAACACTAACTTATTTTTATCGCCAAAGAAGCACTGCGATGGTGGGGGTTATACCTCTTCATGCTTGAGACAAACCTGAATAGAACAGATTGATACTTATGATCAAAACAGTTCTTTCTCATGTATGTAGGGATGGTACTTCTTTTTTGATCTTTGTATTTATTTGGAGGTGGTACAGAGAACTAATACTCTTTCCGTATTGCAACACCTAGCACAGGGCTGCAGAACCACGAGACATTTAGAGAATCTTCAACAAACAGATCAGTAAGAGGATGGTTTGAGAGAGCAAGCTTAAGAGCTGTTCTCTTGGGAACCAGCAGTTAGCGTAACGGCTATGTCGCTGGACTCCCACGTAGTTGACCGTGGTTCATGTCCCGGACCCTGTGGCTTACAGCTCACGCAGGGCGCATATGCCTGTGTGCCCAAGATCCCGAGAGGAGAATGGAGGAGAAGGGATTGCGGCATGACCATCCACCCTGGGGGGTGATTTCTCCCTTTCTGTCTCTATGTCTCTCTCTGTCTGTCTGGTGAGCGCACGCACCCTATAGCTAAAACCTCTCCAAAAAAAACAAAAAGAGCTGTTCTCTTGGTCCAACTTACATAAACTTCTGACCTTGTAACTTTCATGAGCCCTTCCTAGAGGTGAAATATGACCACAAGCTGGGGCTTTATGTTCCATTCAGAGCTCTGAATTGCTTGTCCTTGATCACATTCGTAAGTGCTCTTTTATATGGCAGTGAAAACCCTATCTGTTTTACCATAATCCTACACGTATTATATACAATGGAATTATCTTTAAAATGGATAATACTCTACCTTTAAAGGGTTTTAGAACATTTTCTATTGTGAATAAGGAATGGAATCATTTAAAATAGTTCAACAGCCAGCAGCATTTGTGTCCTTTGGAAATGCCATTGAAATAGTTTTATATATTGGTAAAACTGAGTAAAACAATGTCCGTATAAAACTGTTAAGTTTGAGGTTTCTGTTTTACCTCGGTCAGATAAAATTGAGCCTTAAACCATAGAACACAGTCTATGGAGGCAAGTGAGCGAATTGTATCAGAATACTAGAGCCAAGGAACAACCTCTTTCTTGCCCCCTTGGGAAAATTTTTCTTTCAGATGGAAAGAAAAATAAGTGACAATTAATTCTTCTATACAGTAACAACACAGGCATTGTACATTTGAGCATCATCTGTTAAATGTACGCAAGCATCAAACAGTACACTTTTATAAAATTGACGGAAAAGATTGAGCTTGAATATTTCTGCATATTCTAGAGTGAAAGCTTAAATTTTATCTCTTTCTTAAAATGAATGAACATTCCAGTACATCTTTACTCTTACCAATAAATGTCTGATGGCTGAAAACATAATCGTCACTTTAACTATATCCCTCTGTTTTTAATACTATACAATTCACTGTCCCAAACACCTGGGTTATTTGTGTATTAAATAGCTTACACACCAACTTCTTTCTGCTAATAGATCTCCTCCAACTTATAACACAAGAGAATAACACAGAATTACGAGGAAATCATATGGACAATTTCCACCAAATATACAAATAAATAAAAATAAACAAATAACCAGAAGTGGTACAATGTTCCTAAGTAGATAGGTAGGTAGATGTCTCCATGTATTCCCTATTCACAGAATTCAGGCACTGGCAGACCTGATTCCTACAAACAAAAAATGAGAAACAAAACAAAAGAATTGCAACCTTTGGGACTTGGTTTGCCATGAAAAGGTTTCATTTAAATACTACCTAAAACATTGGCTGACTCAGGAAGTCCAGTTGCATGTCTAATTTCTGGCTTGTCAGCTGGCCAGCGTTGTTACACAGACAGCATCTCAGAAGCAGTCCGTGGGTCCACTTAGACTGAGCAAAATGTGGTCTCGAGTCAAAACCAAGTGCTGCAAAGCACCTTTAGTGCAATGACCCATTTAAACACTCATAGAGAGGAGAGAGGCCAGACATACCCACAGAGTTCTTTGGTCTCCCTCTGGTCAATGACAAACTAAATTTTCCAATAATCCCACTGAGAAAAAAAGACAAAACATACTTTATGACATACATCACTGTTTAAAAACTTCATCTTTGGTCCCCATGTGAGCCACCAAAATGTGCCAGGAATTCTGATGGATCGTGTACAAACTCTTCTCCCATCCTTCTTTTCACATTGAAAGGTCATTTTAAAACCCATAATCCAATATGAGATTGGGTAAATGGGGGTCACTGCACTTGGCTCTCCCTTGAAGTTGGGAGAGGGTTTGTCTTTGTCCTCTTTGAGGCAATCCTTAGAATAGGTCAGAGGGTCTTCTCTGCGTGGGCCTAAGACCACCACTGAGAGTGTGTCTTGCCCCGTGAGTGTATTCTATTTCAGTAGCAGCAGCTCCAACTCACCAATATTTTATCAACAAATGAGTTTCCCTTTTTGCCACCACCAATGCTTATAGAAATGTCCTTCAAAATCATTCATTTTCTACAAAAGCTTTTCTTTATGTTTCAGGGACCATACAGAGAATATTATGGAGACAAAACACTTTTCTAAGCCAATGGTATTTGGTAAAAACTAACACTCTTGCCAACGTGAAGGTAAAGTTTTATCCCCCTTTTCTAGTCTCTCTTTTTAAAATAAAATTAAGGCTCAAATGTCCTATTAAATCCTCAGTGCTTATGTATATTATATTAAGGCTTATAAATACACCTGGTAAATTAAATTCACCCTGGATTGAATTAACACCTGCTATAGGAGTTATTTGCTTTCTGTAATCAGTAATCTCAAGGTCTTTCCTCTTTCTCTGGAAACACAATTTAAATATTAACCTAATCTTTTAACTGCTGCTGCTGCTTTCTGACATTTGGAAACTGGTCATCCATGCAAAAAAGGCAAATATGAGTATATTAATGAAAAGGCAGCTTCTTAAAAATCTTAAACTGTGTAACTCAATAAATTGGGAGGAAAAATAATGAAAACAGCAGGGAAGTCAAGTCTCTGTCACTTTCTAGGGAAAACACTGCTGGGAGCCTGCCAAGGACACCTCTAGTCTAGAGTCCTGCAGAAGTTGACTGCCAATTTCAAAGCGTCTTTGTGTTTTCTTCATTATAATCACTGGAAGGATCTTGGGAAGCTGTAGTGCGTATGAGAAAATTTTAATGAAAAAAATGCAATCTGGTGGAACTTGAGTTCAAGGAATGATAACTCTCGCATAAGGGCCTATGAGAATTTGAGGTGTGCTTGGCCTGTTCTTGTCCTTGGCTTTCCTTGAGGGAGAAGGAGTATGGCACTGCTCACGTCCTACTTAGCTGGCATCCCCTGGAGAATATGAAGCTTTCAAAGTGTTGGTCTTCTGCCTTCTCTTTCATGCGTTGCTCCTCTAAGGACTCGACGAGTTTGTCCCTTTGCTCAATCACTTGCATCATCTCGGTGAATATTTCATGCTCCTCATTTAGGTCATTCTCGTCTTTCTGGCTCTCTGAAGAAAAAGAGAAAAACATTGGGCTTCAGGTAAGATGGGGCCCAGGAGAGTTCTTGCATGAACATTCTCGATTGTTACGGATTTATTCTGCCCTTTAATTTCAATGGAGAAAACAAGGAACGAATTTAACACCAAGGGATTGCCTTGAAAGTGGAGGATTAGAAAGGGGTTGCTTTGTGAGTCAGTCAGCTCAGTTTTCATCCTGAGAAGATATATATAGTGATGGGGGAAAACCCATTTGTGAGAAAAAGAGGTTAAATACAGCCAAGCCCTGTTGAGTCCTCCATCCTTCCTTTCTGCCTGAATAAGAAATCCGCACAACAAAAGGCTCTTTTCCATAAACATATCTGGGCCACAGCAAAGAAATCTTTGAGAAAAGTTTCTAAATAAACCATCTGCACCAGTGGCTACTATTTCAGTGATGAGAATCCTTTTAGCATTTTTAGTTAATGATGACTTGTAGCCTTAACAAAAAAAATGTTAAGGTTTTTGCCATAGGGCATGTGCATGAGAAAGGACCCCCCCCCAGAGGGGATGGGCACACTGCAATCCTCCTCCACCCTCCTCTCAGGATTCTGGGCATGTCCACACCAGTCCAGGATTGACCAGGTGGGAGTCCAGCATCTTAACCACCACACCACCTGCTGGCCCTAACTGTAGCCTTTTGAGTAGAGTCCACCCAGAAGCAAAGTGAGGTTACAACTGCCCAAAAGATGGAGGCTTCCAGACTACCCATGCAGTTCCATTCTGCATTTCTGAGGGCAGTCAGCTGGCTGTTCCATGGGTTCACACTCAGCCAGCTGTAGGGGCCCTACAGTTGGACCTTTCTCCCAAGGGTGACTGTCAGGTAACTAGGCAGAGCATGTTTATGTGACTCTGTGACATTAGGAATCTATGTGGGTGCTATGTCTGCGCTGAACATACAGACTTCTGTTTGGCCATCCCTTCCTAAACAGTAGGGTATAACAACTATTCACACAGCACTTACATTGTATGAGGTGTTGTAAGGGACCTCGCAACGATTTTAAGTATACAGGAGGATGTGTGGAGGTTACACACAAATATTCCACCATTTTATCTGAGGGACTTGAGTACCCACAGATTTTGATACAGCAGAGAGTCTGGAACCAACCCCGCAGTGAACCCAGGGAAGACTGTCCTGACCTTCCTTCTTGGGGTAAGGCATCTGATGGCCTAAAGGGAGGTAAGATTGTGGCAAAAAAAATAAATAAATAAATAAAAAAGAGAGAGAGAGAGTAAGTGACAGATAGTAATGGCTTTCTGATGCTCAGATAGGGTTTGAAAACCAGATTCAAGGCTTGTTGACCAGGTTATTGCCTTGGGAGAAGGCATTCTAAGTTCCTTCACCCCTCCATCTCAACACTGAGGACGAGGTGGTGAGCCTCCTTCCAGGATAGAGGAGGTGCCACTGTCTCCGCTCAGGCTTGGTTCTAGGGTTGGGGACAGGAGCAAGATAGACTTGTGGCCGGAAAATAATGAAGTGCATTCCCTTGGTGTCGCATGTTGTGTAGGAGGGAGAAGAGAAGAGCAGAAAGGCAGGGGTGAGTTCTAGGATCTGGCCTGTCCATTCTGGGCCTTGGCAGTCCCAGGGGACGGGAAGCACCTATATCCTTGGGTGGGAACATTGTGGACTAAAGGGCTCTTGGCCTGCCTCTCGTTGAGGATGTTGAAGATTCTGAAGGGCATCCCTGACCATAAACGGGTGGTACTTTGTAGTTCACCAGAGAAGGGTCCCAGTGTGGCAGCTACCTAACTCCCATCTGTTTTGTATGCTTTGGGTGAAGCCTAGAAGTGCCACTTACCCAAAGCTACCAAAGATAGAAGGCTAGTGGGCCCGCTGTGAGGCTCCCTGTGCAGCGCGGTGACCCCATAGTAGACTGGCCACACTACATGGAGGGTGTGCTGAGTGAGCCAGGGCATGCCACCAGGCTCCAAAGACACCAAGAGAGAACGGCCAGGGTATGGGTGACACCGGCCCCACACCGTAGCTGTAAATGCGGCAGGAGTGGCAGCCCATGCCAGAGAGACAGCTGTGTGAGGATTCAGTGAGCCCAAGCACCCCACATAGATTCCTAATGCCACAGAGTCACACAGACATACTCCGCCTAGTTACCTGACAGTCACCCTAGGGAGAAAGGAATGAGTGGCCATCTTCACACTGAGCATTTCCGTCCCAAAGAGACTAAAGCATTTCCTACAAGACTGTTTAAATGACTGCATCAGACTGAGTTTATCAGAGAGGCATTAAGGCTTATTTTTTTCTCCTTACAGTGGGAGAAAGTTTATTTAGGAGAGGAGTTCAAACACACACAAAATAAAGAAACTACATTTTCTTTTTGTACATCTGAGAAGAGTGAGAAAATGTAAGACCTTCACTCCTGAGTAAAAATTAAAAAAAAAAAAATCGAAGCTAGTCTTTAGTGGTATTTATTTTACTTTCCTAAAATGGAACAAATTAAATAATTTTATCAGATGTATAAATCAGAGATTGGTTATATAGTATGGTTTGTAACCTAGGCAAATTCCAGTATTGGTATCTCTTATTTAATAAACAACATAAAAAATTTAAAAATCCCTCTTAGTTTAGGCTTGCCATAAACGAACCCATAACAGTCTACCATAACAGTCTGTTCTGGCAAATAAAAGATGATATATACCACCTTCATCCATCCTGTACAGTGTAACTCTGTAAGGGTTGTATTAGCAATAGAATTCTGGGCCCAGCAGCTGGTGTGGGGTTTAGGCACTGGACTTCCACACGGCCGACCATAGTTCAAGTTCCAGACCTGGTGGCTTGCTTTCTCACTTTCCCTCTCTGTCTCTCTCTGGTGAACTGGAGGGGAAAAAATTAACTAATTAAATTAAATAATTCTTAAAGAAGAAGAAGTAGGAAAATAAATTAAATTAATTCTTAAAGAAGAATTAAAAATTAATTAAATTAAATAATTCTTTTTTTAAAGACTTATTTTATTGTAGTCATTGTCATTATTTTATTTTATTTTTTTGAAGTTGACCAGAAAGACAGAGAGAGAGAGAGAGAGAGAAGGAAATTGAGAAAGTAAGTTGTCAGGTCTGGGATTCGAATCACAGTCAGCCTTGTGGGAGTCCAGCCGCCCCGACCACCACGCCACCTGCCAGCCCCATCAATAAAGTAATTCTTGAAGAAGAAAAAGGAGAAGGAGGAGGAGGAGGAAAAGAAGTAGAAGAAGAAATAGAAGTGTCAATCACTACTATTTGAGAAAGAATGGGAGACCCTGAATCTGTGGTCTGATCCCAACCTTAGCCCTGCTATTTACCTTGAGCACATTATTTGTATTCTTCAAGATTCCATTTTCTAATCTGTAAAACAGGGATAAAGTACCTACATAAAAACGGTGAGGATGACACTATTGAACTTGGCCTTTTAGAACTACATCTAAATGTAGGAAAGTCATGCTTGAATCTGGCCCCACAAAGGTACAAAGCAGAGGGAATAGGTGCGCCTTTCTGGCTGGAGCCCATGAAGGTGTGTATCAGTATATCATGTCAACTGAGTTCTTACAGCTCTTCCTCTCTTGTGATGGGATGATTTTCTCATGTGTGGTGTCCTGGCCCAGCCCATGCTGGGAGGGAAGGTTGCCTTTACCGCCTCCAGTGTTTGCACAATTAGGCCCGCCTTCCTCTGTGCTCCCAGAGCACCTCTGTCCTGGCCATCTCACTGTGCCACTCATCTGGAGTTGGTCTCTCTGATGAAACCACAAGCTTCTAGAGGACAGGGGTTGTTTTTCACCACGTGCCAGGCCCATACTTGGTTCTCAACAAATGTGTGTTAAATGAATATAAGGATAAGAGAATGAATAGTGAATATATTGCTTTGTTCCTATTGCCCATGGGATGGAGGAAAATGCTGTCCTTGTAGCCAAGTGAGTGGATCTCCATGGAGACTTGCTGTCCTTGAGGTGGTAGGCAAACGAAGGCTGGCTTGCACTTCCTCTGGGCCCCGGACTGCTAGTGCAAGGTGGACGTGCAGCCCACGTTGCTCAAGTGTCCTTCACAGGGCACCGACTGACCACAGACTCACCGTCCTTGAGCATGTTCTCTCTTAATTTCTGCTCCAGCCTGCTCTGGTGATCTTCTAATTCCAGTTCTTGGGCCCTGGGTGGGAGAAAATGTCTAAAGTTTGTATATAATAAACATTTGTGTAGATACCTTGATGAAAGACGGTTAATAGTAGTTACCGTGTTATTTCCTTCCTATAAAAACTGAGGTTTTACAACATTTCAGAACTAAAAGATTTGCTGTTGTGGGAATCACTGAAGGTGCTAGAAGGATTGTGGAGATATCCTGAACTTAAGAGTTCCCACCTGGCGGAGGGCAGGTGAGGTTGTGACATGACCTCAGTGGGCTTTTGGAGGGCCACACACATCACCCTGCAGGGATGGGGTGGAGAGGAGAGGATAGTGCAGAGTGACCACAGCAGCTCAGAGAGGAAGCCCCACTCTTCAAGAATTGCTTCTAACGACTCCTGGGTCTCTGCAGTAAATAAAGGACAAAGGTGAAAACAGAAGTGAGACATTTTGTCCAGATGGAGGTGGTGAAGCTCAGACAGCTATCCACATGGTTGTAGGAGACTCAGAAGAAGAGCCAGCGTTGCTTTGGAAGGGTCGAGCCTGAGTGCTGGGGATTGGTGTTTGCACCATGAGGAGCAACAAAATCAAGAAGGTAGGCCAGCTCCATGGGCACGTGGCTCAAGGAGCTGGATCCCAAATGACCAACTGTGTAGTTCAAACCCTGACTCGGCAGCTTGAGAACCATGTCAGGCACATGTGTGTGGCAAGGTGGAAAAATGGAGGAGAGGGGATTGAGGCATGACCACGCCCCATTGGGAGTGCTTTCTCCTTCTTTCTGCCACCGACTGAGGAATTCCTGGAGCCACAAGAAGGAGAAGAGGCAAAGAAGGAGTCTGTCCTAGAGTCTCTAAAGAGAATATAGCACTCTCAAGTGCCTTCATTTTGGACTTTGGGCTTCCAGAACTGTGAGGGAACAGATTTCTGTTGTTGGGAGCCACCCAGTGTGAAGTGTGTGTTACTGCAGCCCTAGGAAACTAACAGAAGCAGCAAGCCCATGTGGGCTCTCAGAGGAGATTTAACCAAGCTGCCATGCTCTGTAATAAAGGTGACATTTTGATATTACCTCTATGGACTCAGTTGTCTTATTTCTCACCTGGCTGAAAACCCAGGCAGAGAAGAATGCAAGTATGTATTATGCCTCTTCACAAACTCCAGAGACTCTCTCTCAGAGTGGGGGTGAAAATGAAATGAGACCACATAAGTGAAATCACCCTGCACAACTTGCACTTAGGTGGTTTATACGAAATGTCACTTTCTTTCCTCCAGAATGGTCTTCCAGGTCTACTGACCTTCAATGTTTCAGAGTGTGGTGATAATTCATCTCTACTTCCCGATCGCCCAAACAGGCTGCAACTCCTCATTCAGAGAAGATAGCCAGGCAGGCCCCAGTCCCTCATTCCATTAAAGCCACAGGAAGCGGTGAGCTCGTCCTATGCCTCAGGCTCAGAGGCCAGATACAACCTTCCCCACTGCAGGTGCGACTGATCTTTTATCATGGGCCCGGGAGAGAAGGATGGATTGAAAACACCTGATCCAAATGGCTGCTGCTCCATCCCATCCCCTGCAATCTATTTTAGCCACAGGACTCCACCAAGAGTAACAGACAACTAAAGACTCTTTGAACTAATGCCAGCAGGATATGCAAGACATAAAATACCAATTTGCCTCAATCACTATTCTGTATGCACGGGGAGACAAAGTCCTGGGACTTCAACCCGCGAGGGTGGGCCGCCCCTCCTGCCCCTGTACTTTGAGGACTCACCACGACTGGTGTTGCCTTACTTACATGATCAGCAGCTCCGACTCATATCGCATTAATTTATTCTTCTCCAGGACCAGCTTAAACCATTCCTGCAAAAGCTGTGCTTCGTCCTGTGAGCCTGAATCTGCTTAAGAAATCAACAGCAAATGGGTTAGATTGGCATTTCTTTCCCCGTGATCAAACAGGTTTGGAGCCACTGTAGCGGGCCATGTTTGTAGCCAGAAGGGCTCGGCAGGCAGCAACTCCCTGACACCCTGTTGATACCTCAAAGCCAAGGGTGTGATAAATAAAACCCACCTGTGGATGCTCTGGTGGGAGGTCTGCTTGGACACTGAGGGCATGACTGCTTGTGCCCCATGGGATGCATACCTTGATAACACCCTACTCTCCTGCCTCCTTGCGTGTCCTCCATACAACTTACATATGCTTATGCATCTCATCTTCCACCAAAGAAAACCCTTTTTCAAATGCCTACCAAATGCCTGGGGGCTTCCCAGCTCCCTTCATCAGCAAAGAAACTCACACCATGTTTGGTCATAGAGGAATGATGACTGGCATTTTGAGGTTTTACACAAAGGTTTTTGTCAAAGTCACACAATGATGTAAATGTTATTAACTTTGAGTCTTGTGGAGAAAAAGTTCTATCCATATATTCCTTTTTAAAAGAATTATTTATTGGGAACCAGCAGTTAGCGTAATGGCTATGTCGCTGGACTCCCACATAGTTGACCGTGGTTCGTGTCCTGGACCCGGTGGCTTAGAACTCACGCCGGGCGCGTGTGTGTGCGTGCCCAAGACCCCGAGAGGAGAATGGAGGAGAAGGGATTGCCGCATGACCATCCCCCCTGGGGGGTGATTTCTCGCTTTCTGTCTCTATGTCTCTGTCTGTCTGGCGAGTGCACGTGCCCTATAGTGAAAAAACCTCTCCCCCCCAAAAAAAGGAATTATTTATTTAATTTTATTGTTATCATTTTTAAATTTGATGAGAGAGACAGAGAGAGAGAAAGAGAGCAGAAAAGTGAGAAAGCAAGCTGCCAGGTCTAGGACTTGAACCACAGTCAGCCATGTGGAAGTCTAGCACCTTAACTGAGTGCTGGCCCCACATCCATAATTCTTACAACTTAGATTATGACCTTTATTAAGCAGAATAGTAATCATGAGAAAATTGGCAATGCTTCTTAGATATTTGGTGTTAGATACTAAATGTTTTGATAGTGAAATGTTAAAATCTGGGCATATTTGAGAAGCAGCAAGATGGAGGTGGCTTGCTTCTTTTTTTTTTTCTTCAGAGATGTTTTTGCTATAGGATGCATGCACTTGCCAGAGAGACAGAGAGAGACTGAGACAGAAGGCAAGAAATCACCCACCAGAGGGATGGCCACACTGCAATCCCTTCTCCTCCGTTCTCCTCTCAGGATTTTGGGCACGCACGCACACGCGCCTGGTGTGAGTTTCAAGCCTCTGGGTTCAGGACTCAAAGCATGGTCGACTATGTGGGAGTCCAGCGACATAACCATTATGCCATTTGCTGGTCCTAATGGAGGTGGCTTTCTAATATATCACCCAGCAATGGGAACACAAGCTGTATGCAAAGCTCATGGCCATTCCAGGATTTATATTGGAGTGTATAAACAATGCAGACTGACTTATGGGACCTTGGGCAAGATGCTTAACCTCTTGGAGCCTCTACTTTTTCATCAGTTAAACTGGAATAATAAGACACACAGGTACCATAATGAGCTGCTATTTATCTGCAGCCATTGTGCCAGCAGATGGAGGGTGTGCATATTCTATGCAGCATCTCATTTCATTCTCTCAACAAACTGAGCAGTGGGTTCTCTCCTCATCACTGCTTAGGAGTCGAAGAACCAGAGGTTTAAGAAGTTAAAGGAGTGGGAACAGCAGATGGAGTAATAGTTATGTCGCTGGACTCCCACGTAGTCAACTGCAGTTCAAGTCCTAGACCCAGTGACTTAAAACTCACGCCAGGTGCAAGTGTGTGCGTGCCCAAGATCCCAAGAGGAGAATGAAGTAGAAGGGACTGTGATGTGGCCATTCCCGTGGGGGATGATTTCTCACTTTTTGTCTCTTTGTCTCTCTCTGTCTCTCCAGCTAGCGCACATGCTGTATAGCAAAAATCTCTTAATAAAAAAAAAAAGATTAGAGCAGCTTTCCCAAGCTCACAGGCGGTAAGTGTTAGAGCTGGGACTTGAATGGAAGTGTGCCCTGTCCCAAGTCTGTGCTCCTCACTGCTGTGTGTGCGTCTTCCTTCCTCTCGCTCTCGCTCCCTTTGCTCTTCCTCCCTCCTCCTAGTACAATAGCATGTGAGATAAATAATGTCTCCAGCACTCCGTCTTGCACAGAGCACATAAGCCATGAAAATCAGTGCCCTTTTCTTTCTGTCTCCTGGTCCACATTTTAAAAAAATATTTAATTTTATTTATTATTATTATTTTTTGAAATTTGGCCAGAGAGAGAAAAAAATGGAAAGTGAGAAAGCAAGCCACCAGGTCTGGGACTCGAACCTCAGTCTAGGTGTGAGTCCAGTGCCTTAACCACCATGCCATCTGCCAGCCCCCACATTTTTTAACTGATAAGGAAACCAGGGCCCAGAAAGATTCATATACATTGTCCCAAGTCATGTAGTTTATGGGCAAATGGGTGCTAAAATGTAGATCTTGAGTTCTGACTCATTTATTCACTCATTTAATTCATCTATTGACTGAATATTTTCTCTGTGTTGCTATTCCTTAGGTACTGGGAATACAATGACATATAATATTACATATCACAAGAAGTTTGGAGGTAGTAAAGTATAAAGGATATTGTTAGATCATCTTTTAGATCAGACAAACTAAAAAATCTGGAATAAAATAGAAGTTTAGAAAACTGTCATGGGGCCAGCAGGTAGTGTGGTGGTTGAGGTGATGGGTTCCCATTTGGCCGACCGTGTTTTGAGTTCTGGGCCTGGCTTGCTTTCTTGCTCTCTCTCTCTGTCTCTGTCTGTCTTGCTCTGGTGAGTGTGTTTTCTCTATAGCAAATTTAAAAATAATAATAATAATAAAAATTAAACAAATATATATACATATACATATATATTAGAGAGATTTTTGCTAGAGGCACATGCGCTTGCTGGAGAGACAGAGAGACAGGAAGCGAGAAATCACTCCCTAAAGAGTGACCACACCACAATCCCTTCTCCTCCACTCTCTTCTTGGGATCTTAGGCACACCTGCACATGTACCTGGCATGACTTTTAAGCTGCTGGGTCCAGGACTTGACTACGTGGGAGCCCAGCGACATAACCATTATGCCATTTGCTGTTCCCAACAAACAATTCTTTAAAAAAAAAAATAAAAAAGAGGGACCAGCAGATGACATAGTGGTTACGTCACTGGACTCCTACATGATCGATCTCAGTTTGAGTCCTGAACCTGGTGGCTTGCAAATCACCCTGGGCGTTTGTGCATGTGTGCTCAAGATTCCTAGGAGGAGAATGGAGAAGGGATTGCAGCATGGCCATCCACCCTGGTTGGGTAACTTCTCATTTTCCCTCTCACTGTCTCTGTCTCTGTCTTTCTCCTGTGAGCAGAGAGGCCCTAAGGGAAAAACCTGTACAAAAAAAAAGAAAAGAAAAAAGAAAATGGTCACAACAAAGCAACCACAACAATCTACCCTGAGGATACAGAGTGAGTTTTCCTGGTCAGGTCATGAGGCTGGGCTTGTGATGTCTGAACTGGGATGCTGAAGAATAGATAACACTTTTGCGAGGAAATACTGAGGATGTAAGAGGGCATTTTCAAGAAGGAACAGTGCGAAGATGAGGAGATGGGAAAGAAGAGGTAGAGGCAGAGAGCCGAAGGGCTAAGGAGACATGAAGGGGTTGACAACGAAGCCTGGGATTTTATGAAAATCTCATCATGAAGGCCCCCAAAAGAGAAAATGCTGAGGGATTTGTTCTTCATACTGTGGAACACAAAAGCACATTAAAGTGGATGGAGTAAGAGAATAATATGTGAAGTTTTACAGAGGAAGGTGCAAAAGGGAGAGAAATAAGATGCTTTTCTTAGGTTTCTTTTTCTCTCTTTCTTCTTTCTTTCTTCTTTCTTTCTCTCTTTCTTCTTTCTTTCTTTCTTTCTTTCTTTCTTTCTTTCTTTCTTTCTTTCTTTCTTTCTTTCTTTCTTTCTCTTTTTCTTTCGAGAGGTTTTTGCTATAGGGCATGTGCGCTCACCAAAAAGACAGAGAGACAGAAAGCGAGAAACCACCCCCCCCCAGGGGGGCCGGCCACTCTGCAATCCCTTCTCCTCCATTCTCCTCAGGATCTTGGGCATGCATGCACAGGTGCCCTGCGTGAGTTTAAGCCACTGGGTCTGGGACTCGAACTGCAGTCAACTACATGGGAGTCCAGCAACATAGCCATTACGTCAATTGCTGGTCCTGATTCTTAGGTTTCTTGAATGAGTGAATGAAAGAATAAAAATTCATAAATATATTGAGTTCCATCATCTTCTAAGCATGGCTTGTGGTGCTGAAGGACAAGGATGAGTAAGCACTGCTGCAGCTCTTTAGGAAGCTGGGAGTTTATAGTCCACTGGGGGAAACCAGCACACAGCCAAGTAGAATACAATGTGCCCCTTCCTGTGGGAGCAACGGAGGGAAGCAATTAATCTCTTGTGGAGGTGGGAGAGAAGGCCTCAGAGAGGAGACAGCAGGTGAGCTCAGTTTAGATAGAAGAGTTAGAGTTTCCCAGAGAGGGGAGGAGGTAAAGAACCAGGCATTTTGAGCCTTAATTGTGAGGCCACCAGGTGATGTGGCAGTTAAGGTGGCTGGATACCTAAATGGCCAAAAGCAGTTTGAGTCCTGGACCCGGTGGCTTGAAAATCATACCAGAGGATGTGTGTACATGCCAAAATTCTCAAGAGGAGAGTGGAGGAGAAGGGATTGTGGCGTGGCCATCCCCCTTGGGAGTGACTTCTCACTTTCCCTCTCTCTGTCTCTCTCCTCTCCAACATATGCATATGCTCTATGGTAAAAAACTAAAAACAAAGGGGAAAAAAAAGAGAAAGTGTTAATTGTTGAATAAAGAATGTAGTGTATAAACCAGAGTCATGATGCATTTTTGCA